AATCATTAAATTTATGCACAAAATCATTGTCTCAATTACTTTATTATCTCCTTCTCTGTCACCGCCGGTTATGTCCATCGATTTGGTGTCATTATAATCATATTCAAGCACTTCCAGCGCTTCCTTATACTCTTTGGCCGAAAACTACGGGACAAATGACAAACAAATGTGCAATCATTTGACATGACATGCGGTTGAGTCGGGAAGTGATCTTACGTGACATTTGGCGACCAAATGACGGCACGAGAGGACAGTTGTGTGCAATTGTCTGGATTTGATGCAATGGATGGCTCTGTGGAACTCATTCAAGTGATAGAAACAGATGGCCTGTTGGTAGACATCGTCGGTGTGTCCGGCGCTCAATGAGACAATCTTATCGCTCCAGAAGACGGCCGACTTGTACTGCTGTCCAGCGATGTAGTCGTCGCGGATGTGCCGCCACTTCTGGACGTCCAGCGAACAGCTGTTCATATTATCGGTCACTCAATACAACTGGCTTTCAATGACACCAAAAAAGCAATCCTTTAATCAATTTATGATTTGTTTTTGTATTCACTTTGCGTTTGAAAAATATTGTCTCACAATTACTGAGGGATTGTCACGTAATTGCATTGCGTGTGTGTGTGTATGCATATGTGTGTATGAATTTGAAGTAGGTGGGTTGTTTTTCAAACTGACCAATCTCATTTCATTGAATACACACTATACACATACAATATACATGTACTGCACATATAGTGCTTCTATTGTGATGTAATTCTCATTCCCAACCTTTAAATCAATTGGTTTTGCTTTTTGTTTCGTATATTATAACTCAATTCAATGCATGTATTGCTTTAATACCATTAAATTGTCATAATATTTAACACCGATATTAGCCTTAAATTCACTGAATTCACGACAGAAGATAAAATTACTTAAATTTGATATATTTCTATCGTTGCTGTCATGAGTGCCAAACGCGCGGCCGATAGTGACCGACAAAATGGCTTTAAAGACTGTGCGAACGATTCAGACCACTCCGAGTCAGAGTCGCCATCAGTTGCAGTGTTAGAGCCCATCGCCGAACAGTCTTCGCAATTAACGAATCCCGATATTAGACATGAAAGGGACGGATGTATACTCTCGACACAATCGGGACAACTGCCACAACCCATTGCCTCCACTTCACATTCGTCGTCGACAGCGAGCCCTCCGTTAACTGTGCCGACTATATCTGCTTCATTGCCAGAACAGACGGGATCTGAAGACGAGATCGACAGGTCTGTCCCCACAGGTGTAGTCCTCAACACTCATTCCATCGGCGAATTGAAGACCGACCAACACATGGTTCACGTGATGACATGCGATCAACCCATGATTGGATCAGAATTTTATGCCATGAAATCAAATCCGCGCGGATATTGCCTTATATTTAATATAATTGATTTTCCCGACCATTCCCTTCAATTTCCCCATCGATTGGGTTCCGAATCGGAAGGCATTCGGTTGAAGAAAATCTTCGAACAGTTGCACTTTGAGGTCAATATCATTAAGAACCCAAACAAGAAAGACATCGAAACTACTGTCGAAGAATACTCGCAAAAAGAGGAACTCTTAAAACAAGACTGTTTTGTTCTCATAGTTCTGTCGCACGGAAAGGATGGCGGAGTATTCGTCGGTAAATACATTAGATTTAAGACATTTTAAATTAATGTTTTTAACTTATTTTGATTTTAATGTATAGCGAGTGACGGCCGATATATTTCATACAAAGATATTGTCGAACAATTAAATAACAGGAATTGCAAAAATCTCATTAAGAAACCCAAGTTATTCTTCTTCAGCTGCTGTCGCGGACGTATGTATTGATTGAATTATATGTTATTTTAAATGTTAAACAAATTATTTGCAAATACTAGACGATAGAGACTATGGCGTGGATTATGAAGTGGAAGCGTTGGCCGAAACAATGAATTTAGATTCGGTTACAGCGGACGCCGGACTCATCCCAATGGACAGAATAAAGCCACAGGTTGTTAGAGTTCCGGTCGTTAGCGATGTTATGATTTGTTACTCGACTATTGATGGATACGTCTCGTGGCGTCACGAGGAGAACGGCACGTGGCTTGGGATGGCTCTCTGCAAAGTGCTCACTAAGTCCGCCCACACAACCGAGTTATTACAACTCCTCAGACAAGTAACTAATCTAAATAGTAATTAATCTAAATATAAAGCAAACTATAATTTGTGTATTTATTGTCACAGATTTCAGATGAAGTGTCACTCAAAGAAAGTGATGAATACGGGGCCAAACAAGTGGTTGAAGTTATACAGAGAGGCTTTACTAAGCAATTCTATTTCAATCCGGGCTATTTTGCCGACACCGCCTCATCTACTAATTGATTAAGCGCTCAATTTTATAACCATTCCAATCGTGACTTCATTTAAAGTATAAACTGTTTTTTGGATTATTTATGAATTGAGTCTCAAATTTAAATGTTTCTATTAAACTGATATATTCTTCTATCAAGTGATTAACGAAATCTCCATTTCTATGCTTATAATTATTGTTTCAATAATATTATTCTTAATTTAACGTAACTTATCGTACAAAACATACATTATTTCATCAACTTTTTAAATGATATTTAGAGCAATAGATAATTGAGCGGCAATTCATAAAATATTTGAAAATAATGTAATATTTAATACAAATTTTATCACTTAAGACGAAATGCAATTATTTGTTTGATATTTGAATTAAAATAAAATTATTTTTGTTTTGTATATTGTTTTTATTGTAAAACAAAATATTTGGAGATTGACTGGACTCAAGTGTGTAGACAATTGGATAATATATTTTTAAAACTACAGTAGGTAAGTTTTTACAAGAAATAATTAAATTGTAAATTTTTATACCATGTTTTATATCATTGCAAACTTTGGTTCCATTATGAGTACTGTAGTGGCAATTATTGATTCAAAATTCAGTGATAAATTATTAATGATAATAAATAAACATTCTTGTCTATGAGAAATTGTTCAAATTTGACTTAAAATTTTGAAGCAACCATGAACATTTAAACATATTCATGAAATTTTAACAAACCCCTAACTATTCTAGTTTCGGATGATTTCACAACCTGTTTAAAGCATTACATGGCATACAGATGTACACTTATTAAGTATGCTTTCTAACTTACGTTATAACTTATAACATTTATGTTATAAAATTGTGCCTTTATTTCTAAATTTAATATATTTATTGATTAAATAATTAAATTGTGATAATATTTAACACCGATATTAGCCTTAAATTCACTGATTTCACGATTGAAGTTATTATTTAACAAAATTATATACATTTATAATATTTATAACCATGTATGACCGGTTTGTCCACCTGCGTGGACACAGCATTATTCAAATGTGTTATAATTTATACACTATTCATAATTCATTCATATATAGAGTATACTAATATAACAAATGGGGTTTAAACTCATTTACTGTATATTAATAAATATTATTAGCATCAGGGCACTTGATGACTGCAATTATTGTAACGTTTATCATGAATAATAGTTGATTAATAAACTTGTTGATTCATTAACCACGTTCAATATGTTTCAGCCCCGGCCTCCCTCTAACCATTAATGTTTATAACAAATAAATGATAATAATATGTCCGAAATTATATGTGTAAGCAATGGTAAAGCAGATCCGGATGGCGGCACACAATCTACTCAATCGGCTCCATCACCGGTGCCCACAATTTCATCACAAATGTCACCGCCGACCACATCGGCTCCACAGACATCAACCAATGGATTAGCTCAACTGCCAGTGCCTACTATAGAGACACCAAAACCCATACTAAACTCATCACAGTTACAGTCGAAGACCGAAGCGAAAGCAATGGACCAATTGGTGGCCAGTTTTCTCCATTTGCCGGCGCCAACCATTGCTAAACAAACCTTCGCTGAGTCCGCGCCCGCACTAGAGATGCTTAGCGTCAAGACATCGGCTCAACCGATGATTGATGACGAATATTATGCCATGAAATCAAAACCGCGCGGATATTGCCTTATATTCAATTTAATTAATTTCCCCAACCATTCGACTGAATTTCCGTATCGATTTGGTTCTGAAGGCGAAGGCAATCGGTTAACGGAAGTGTTCTCACAGTTGCACTTCGAGGTGAATGTGTTCACCAATTTTAGTAAGAATGACATCGAAAATACTGTCGAAGAATACTCCCAAAAGAAAGAGCTCTCAAAACACGACTGCTTTGTTCTCATTGTTCTCTCACATGGAGTGAATGGAGGAGAATTTGTCGGTAATTGGACTACATTTGAGCCATTTTTAAATAAAATAGTTGAAAATATAGTAATTTATATTAATAGTTATATTATGATTATTATTTAGCATCTGATGGACAGTATATCGCATATAAAGATATTGTCGACAAATTAAATAACAAAAAATGCAAAAATCTTATTAATAAACCGAAGCTATTCTTCTTTAGCTGTTGTCGCGGAAGTATATATTCATTGAATTGAATGTCGTTTTATTTTGTAAAACTATTTGTTTTAATTACAGATGACAGAGACTATGGCGTTGGGTGTGAAGTGCAGGCTTTAAGTGAGAATTTGGATTTCGATACAAGTATTGCCGACGAAGGAAACGATCCAAAGGATACAACTGAACCAAAACCTCCAGCGAAAGTGCCGACAGTTAGCGATGTTATGATATGCTATTCAACTATTGACGGACACGTGTCGTATCGAAGTCCAGGTACGGGTTCGTGGTTGGGAATGGCCATCTCCAGTGTACTCCTTAATATGGCTCACGAATTGGAATTACCTATACTTCTTACAAAAGTAATTGTCATAATATTTAGTTTATGAATGTATATTAAAATTGATGTATTTGTTGAATAGATTTCGGATCATGTTTCAAAGAAAGAAAACATCGAAGACGGGGGCAAACGAGTGGGCAAACAAGTGGTTGAAGTTATTATGAGGGGTTTTAATAAACGCTTCCATTTCAATCCTGGTCATTTCGATACTATTTCTACCACTAATAATGTTACTACAAATTAATTAAGCGCTCAATTTTTAATGTAAATCATGATATAATATAAACAATTCTCTGTCCATAAACTGCCTCTTCTATCAAATCAATTACGAAATCTCTATTTCTATGTTTAAAATAATTGTTATTTAAGACAACGAATCTCAATATATTTAAATTAATTATTTGCCAAAACACTCATATATTATAATAATTAATATAAAGTTTTGTACGAAAGAATATTTAAAGTTATAAATATTAACGAATTCATAAATTACACTTTTTATATTTGCATTTCATATTACATTTACATTTTATTACAAATATTTATATTTTAAAACAGCAATTATTGTTAAATATTTACTATAATTTCAATTATAAATAAACAATTTGTAATACACTATACTATATATTGTTTTTGTTATACTTATTAATGTATTGCTGAGGTCTGGACTTAACTCTCGATAAATAGTGATAGAACTTCAAGTGATCTAATAGTAGATCAAACATTATATAAATTACATGTATTTCAAATTCTGGTTTAAAAAGACTATTTGCATATTATTCTATAATTTAAAATCTATTCAGTATAACATTTTATTACCACGTTTTAGAATTAAAATTATATATCGCAAGACTATCCCCTCCACATATCATAATGCTATACCACTTATACAATTTGTTTAGGTTATATTCAATTGCTACTATGACCTAACATTTCTATAGTACAGTATATTCTAGAAAACACTCTTTAAAAGACATCAAATTTTGGTGACTATTATACACTAATACATTGTACCTGTACATGGTATATTGTATTTGCCGCTACTTTAGCCATATCATTATTCATCGGGGTTGTTTATACATTGCACATAGAAATTCCTACACAGAGTTATTATATGATATGCGTGTACTTTATTTAGGGATAAGACGCTTATGGCATGGGAATGTAATAAAGGGAATATTCCGGGCATTTATTGGCATTTATCGGGCGTTTATTTTGGCTGCCCAATATATGCCAAACATTTGTTATTTTGTGTTTTCCTTAAAAACTACAAAAGTTATTTAAATCAAAAGTTGTTTAATGTGTTGCCACTGTGTTTGCGCGCATTTTAAGCCATCAAACATAGATGTCAGACCTACTGATCAATCGGTAGATTTATTCAAAAGTGATGCCCTATGAGTGCTACATGTATAAGACCGCCGCCACCGCCGGTGTTAGACAATAATCAAACACAGTAATCATACTAATCAACTATGAAATGAGCTGTCATTTAATATATAGTATTGTTTATTGCATTTAATCAATTGGTGCACTGAGTCCGCGACCGCTGGCTGTGATGGTGTAAAACGCTATGTTTTGTTATTAATTAACAAACAGCTCTGGGTTTGAAATAAGCCCCAAAGTCTATGATTGGCTGTTAGTTTCATAAGATAGTCACATGTACTTATTAATGATATACACTTAAGTGGTGCTGCCATCTATTGGTACCAGTTTTGAAGGCATTTATCGGGAATATGCCCACTGGGAATGTGCCAGACAAGGCATTTATTTTTATAAATGCCATTTTTAATATCACTAACTTTATTCTTACTGTATTGTGCAAATGACATAGATTTTATGCAGACTCTATGATGAGCTCATTTGATACCACATAATATTGTGATGAAATTTGTCATTCCTATCATTTATATGAATTAAACTTATTATTTGTTTCAATCATTACAATTAAATTCAATCCATGTATTGCTTTAATATCATTAAATTGTGATATTTAACACCGATATTAGCCTTTATCACACAATTCACAATTCAAATCATTATTTAACATATATTTAAACTTACAATATTTATAACATACACAACAAATGAGTGCCAATAGTTGTCCCGATAGTGACCACCAAAATGTGAGTCAATCCCATTTGGATGAGTCCACACAATCCGTCCGCTTATCGGTGCCGACACTTCAATCAACGCCAACCGTATCTCAACCCACGACCCAATGTTTGTCATCCATTCCCACACAGTATTCCATCGCCGATATGTCTACACCATTGGCTCAGCCATCGGTTCCATCACTGGTGACCATCATTTCATCACAACTGTCACCGCCAACCACATCGGTTCCGCAGACATCACCCAATGGATTAGCTCAACCGCCAGCGCCCACTACAGGGACACTACAATCCATGCCCAACACAAAAGAAGCACTTTGGGAAAAGACCGAAACGGAAGGTACGAGTAAATTGTTGGCCACTTATCCCCAAAGTACAATCGAAGAGGATGTCGCTCAACCCGTGTCCAACGAAGCGCTGCTTCACGTGCAGAGTTGTCCGCAACCAATGATTGGTCCCAATTATTATGCCATGGAATCAAATCCGCGCGGATATTGTCTTATATTCAATATAATTGATTTCCCCGAAGAGTCAATATATGAAGAACGAGTCGGTTCTCAAAGCGATGCCAAACGATTGTATCAAGTGTTCCAAGAGTTGCACTTTAAGGCCAAAGTGTTCACCAATTCATATAAGAAAGACATCAAACTTATTGTTGACAAATACTCTAAAAAGAGGCAACTTTTAAAACACGACTGTTTTGTCCTCATAGTTCTGTCGCATGGAAAGGATGGCGGAGTATTTGTCGGTAATTTTATTATATTTAAGCACTTTTGTAATTAATATTTGTACCGTAACTTAATATAAATTTTAATATTTAGCATCTGATGCCAAGTTTATCGCATATAAGGATATTATCGACAAATTTAATAACAAGAATTGCAAAAATCTCATTAATAAACCTAAACTATTCTTCTTCAGCTGTTGTCGCGGAGGTGTGTATTGTTTACATTGAAACTTATTTTAAGCTTTAAAAATACATTTTCTAATAATACAGGAAATAGAGACTTGGATGGCGGCCGCGAAGGGGTCGAAGCTTTTAGCGATGGATTGAATTTAGATTCGGTTACAGCGGACACAGAAAACGATGGAATGGACGCAACAAAGCCAACAAAAGTGCCAACAGTTGGCGATATTATGATCTGCTACTCAACTCTTGAGGGAAAGGTGTCGGGTCGGAATAGAGATTCGGGCACGTATTTGGGCATGGCCATCTCCAATGTGCTCGTTAATCACGCACATCAACTAGAGTTGTCTAGACTTCTTCCAAAAGTAATTATCACAACATTTACTTTATTAATTTATATTTACAATTTTAATTGATGTATTTTTATCATTTTAATAGATTTGCGATTATGTTTCAAAGATTAACGGCAAACAAGTTGTCGAATATATTTATAGAGGCTTTAAAAAGCGATTCCATTTTAATCCGTATTATTTTGCTACTATTGATACGCGTAGCGAAGACTATGTTATGCTTGGCGAACAGACGCGCCGCCAACCAATAATTGGTCCCGAATATTATCCCATATCATCCAAAACTCGCGGTTATTGTCTTATATTCAATATCTTTGATTTCCCAACACTTGTCGACAAATATCGCAGAGAGGGTTCCGAAAGGGATGCCAACCAATTGAAGCAAGACTTCCAACGTTTGCATTTTGAAGTCGATGTCATCTCCAATCCAATTAAGAAAGATATCGATTCTAAACTTGAAGAATACTCACAAAAGACGGAACTCTTACAACACGACTGCTTTGTTCTCATTGTTCTCTCACACGGAGTAAAGGATCACTTTATATGTAATTTTCTACATTAAAGGGTTTTAATATTTAAAACTAATACCGGTATTAATTTTATATTTAGCATCTGATGGCGTGAGTATAGCATTTGAGTATATTGTCAATCAATTAAATAACAAGAAGTGCAAAAAACTAATCAATAAACCGAAGTTATTTTTCTTTAACTGCTGTCGCGGACGTATGTATTGATTGAATTGATGGTAATTTGAAATGTTAACAAAAGTGATGCAATTATAGATAAGGATGACTTCGGAGTGGTTTATGCAACGGGAGGGCCCGTCAATGACGAGGACATAGATTGGGTTACTTCAGACGTCGGGCCTAATGCTGAGATCGAGCGCATTCTGGCACAGATGCCGACACTGAGCGATGTTATGATCTGTTACTCAACTATTGACGGATTTCGGAACTATCGAAATGAAAAGAATGGCATTGGCTTTGGAACGGCTCTCTCCAAAGTGTTACGCAAATGTGACCCTTATATTGAATTAACAGACCTTCTTATAGACGTAAATATGTGACCATTATTTCAATATTAAACTCATAATTTACTCAATTGTCATCAGATTGCTTGTCAAGTTTCAAACAAAACTTATCACATTTGCGACGAATCAACCAATTATCAAAAGATCTGCGCCAAACAAACTGTTGAAGTTATTTATCGAGGCTTTACCAAACAATTATATCTTAATCCATGAAGTTTACCATTTTATAACATGCCATCAATTTTTAATTCCAATCATATTTTTATACCATAGAAAATAAAGAAATGATTTTTTTGTATTTTTATATTACATTGATTGTAGAGTTTATATTAAAGACCACAATCAATCTTAAATTGCTTAATATTTTGCAATAATTTAATAAACATACAATATTTTTGATTTTGTAATCCGTTTTTATTATATTTTTAACAATTATTTTGTTGAGTTTTATACTTACCTCTCGAGGACTTATGCATTTCATATGATTCAACAATCAGTCAAACTCGATACAGTTATTTTTATCTAAATTTTAGATTCTAAAACTAGAATCGCTTTTTTACTATTTACTCGGTAACCACTAATTCGATTTTAAATCTGCTTTGATAGAATTGTACCCAGATAAATTTCTGACAGATTGATATATAATATGACATAATTACTCTTAATGACATGATAGAAAATCATTAAATCATTTTGCATTAAAATAATGCACTCAAATCGGTCAAATCAATTTTTAACAACAATTCTAGGATAGCTATCAAATTGTTGAATAATGTACGCAAAACCAAACAAATTATTTAGTAAAATATTAATTGTCATTTAAACATGCTTACACGAGATATTTTTCAAAAAATTCCCATTTTTTCACATAAAAGTTTAAAATAGTGGAAAAGTTACTAAAAAGTTATTAGAAGTGCTCAAAAGGTGCTAAAAAGGTGAAACAATACTCTCCTAAAATACTCCCAACATTTAACTTTAATTCAACAAATTATTTAAATTTATTATAAAATACAATACAAAATCTCTCTTTTAATACTAATTTACAAAAATAACTCAGTTTTAAATGCTTTTATGCAAAAATTAATTAGTTATTTGGGTTAACACTTGAATGTAAATTAGCGTAAAAATCGCTGAATCTTTGAACGACAGTCCCTCTGAAGGCGACGTTACCCCGGCCTGAGTCGGGCGCCGTCCACACCAATGTCGCCGATCTTTTACCTCTGAAATGGATTTATATATAAATATGAGACAATTGTTTGCAATGATTACGGTGTGAATGATTCAAACCTTCTGTCTGTATGGGTGACAGAACTGCACGAATCAATTGCCTTCAAACCCTTTCCGGCTTCAAATTTGCCAATAACTGAATGTGTGAATGAAGTTTCGTTTCAATGATTCAAACATTTGTGTTAATTTCATTTCATTTAAAACTTGTTGCAAAATGTACTCAATTACCGGCGTTTGTGTGGGGATCGTATGCCTGGACTATCAATCCTCTGAATGAGTGTCCCTGCGGTGCACTCAA